TGGACTGCAGCACGCCAGGCCTCCCTGTCCATCACCAACTCAGAAACCCAGAGTACAGTACAATTTCTTTTACATGTGAACAAGAAGACATATTAATGTGAATTTCTTTTATATGTAAATAAGAATAATATCATAAGAAGACAATATACTTCTAAAGATAGGTTCTAGGAACTACCTCTCATTTAAACTAGAGCTATATAACCAGGCACAATATAAAATTACATTAACTTATTTGATAATGAAATAAGAAATTAAGCTGATACCAAATTTAAGGCCAGCAAAAGGTATAATCCAAGAGTTGTAATTGGATAAATATTTGCTTTACTGGGGAGAAATTAACAAAAGATAGAGTAAGCATTTTAAAGTAGCATTTCTTCCATTCATAATGTTGTACAATCACCACCTCTATCTCCAAAACATTTTCCTCACCCCAAAATAAAACCTTATCTCCATTAGGCACTTACTCCCCATTCCCTCCTCTATAACCTCCCCTCAAGGCCCTGGCAATCACTACTCTGCTGTCTCCATGCATTTACCTATTTTGGATATTTCATATAATCATAATATGTGACATTTTGTGTTTGATTCACTTAGCATGATATTTTTTTGTTGGTTTGTTTGTTGTTCCTCTTATTCTAGTCCTTCAATACCTTTGGTAGCCACGGAGAAGCATACGTTTTGAAGGTTCGTCCCTGTGACAGCACATGTCAGTATTTCGTATCTTTTTTATGGCTGAATATTATTTCATTGAATGTATGTATGACAACTTCCTTATTCATTTATCTGCAGATGGGCTGTTTCTATCGTTTGACTATTATGAATAGTATTCCTATAAACATCAATTTTTTTATTGTGATAAAATATATATGTAACACAGAATTTTCCATTTTAACTACTTGCATGGATACTATTCCCAAAGTAATCTTCACAAGTAAGCATCACCACCGTAAATCTCCAAAACAATTCATCATCAACAGAAAATCTGTATCCATTAAACAATAAGTCCCCTTTCCTCCCTCCCCACAACCCAGCCCCTGGCAGTCACCATTCTACTTTACATCTCTATGAATATGATTAGTCTAGATACTCCAAGGAAATAAATTACATAATAGCGTCCTTTCTTGTCTGGCTATTTCACTTAGCATTATGCTTTCAAGGTAAACATCAAATCTTTTACCAAATAAAAACTACACATTTCATAGCTTAAAAGCTACCAATGTTTAACACTGTAATCAAAAGCAATGACATCATCAATAACCTGTTCAAAGTATCTTTTGCTGGCACCACTTCATTCCTTCCTCACAACCTCCTTGTGAGATGGGTCTTACAGATGAAGGAATGAGACTCAGAGATGAGTGACTTGCTCAACAACATGAGTCTCATAAACCAAACATGTATATTCAGGTCTTCCAATTCCACTCCCAAACTCCCAGTCCTTTTTAGTTACAGGATTAGCCGCCTTCCAATCCACCCTTTATAAGGATGGTCAGGAGACACCTATGTAGAAGAAACAGTCAAGAAGTCTCAAAAAACAAGAAAGATTTTGAGCCAGAACTTAATAAATTAGTTTTTTCTGGGAAGAGGGGAACAGAAGGGGCATTCAAGGCAGGTGACCATCTGACCTGGGTACAGAGATGAGCCTGGTGGGTGTTGGGCAAGGAGGAAAGAAACAGGATGTGCAGAGTGACAGGATGTAACCTAATCTGATTTGAAAAGAGTTTCGAAGAAATCTTTCTTTCATTCCCATCTACAATGGATTATCTTAAACAAGAACCTTTGTTGTTGTTGTTTTTTCCTTGCTTCACCAGAATATACAGATAAATAGAACTTTAGTCAAAAATTACATGTCCCCCTAGGGCTTCCTAGTTGGCATTGCTGCATCTGTCTTCCACTGCAACCTGTACTGGGGCAGGAGGTGGGAGGGATGAATATCACTTAACACACATTTGAGCCAAAATCCGGATAACCAAGTAGGAATTGAGAATCATTTATTCAATAACTTATGCCATAGGCTACCTATGTCCCCAAGAATGATTTCCAAAGATAGGAAAACAATAAAAACAAAAATAGCATCAGTTATGAATGTTACCCCAACTACAACATTCCAGAATTTGTTTCTTTAAAAAAAACTTATTTTTATTTTATAGGAGAATCCATCTTAAAGGACAAAATTCATGGTTTTGTTATTAGGAGCAACATATTTTAAGATATAAAGGCATTTAGTTTAATAATCACTCCTATAAGAAAGATATCTTTTTTAAAAAACAGATTGTTTATTACAAAAACATGAAGGAAAATTGAGAGGAGTAAAGATTAGGCATTTTGACGACTTCCTTGGTGGTCCTGTGGCTAAGACTTTATGCTCCTGAAGCAGGGGCCCTGAGTTCAATCCCTGGTCAGGGAGCTATATCCCACATGCCACAACTAAAAAAACAAAAAAGTCCCTCATTCCACAATGAAGATCAAAAACCCCATGTGATATAACAAAGACCCTGTGTGGCCAAATAAATAAATAAAAATAATATGTATTAGACTATTGGAGCACAGAGATACCATACTTACTTTAAAAAAAAAAAAGAACAAGCATTTTCAATTTGTAGATATCAACCATTCATAAGCAGAAGAATCACAAATTTGATATTAATGAAAAGGTTTGTTGGTCTACTAAAATTAAATGGTAAAGACTTCTTTGGACAACTCTGTATATCAACTGATATATCCAGTGTCAACAGATGAAATTAGTGAAAAAGAAAAGTAAAACAGGTTAGCTTCAGCAATGGAAATCCATTAAGTTTATGTATTTGAAAACCAAAACACAGCAAGGTTCATCTTTTCCTTAAACAAATCTTTCCTTGTCAAATGTAATTTATTAACATTTAAGCCCCTCATAATTGAAAGTTAGAGGAAAATATTTTAGTATACATTTAACTTTCTATGTGTGTGTTCCCAGTTGCTCAGTTGTGTCTGACTCTGTGATCTATATATTTTTTCAAAATGCTTTAAATGTGCATGCATGCGTGTTCAGTCACTTTAGTCATGTCCAACTCTGCAACCATATGGACAGTAGCCCACCAGGCTCTTCTGTCCATGGGATTTCCCAGACAAGAATACCAGAGTGGGTTGCCATACCTCCTCCGGGGGATCTTCCTGACCCAGGGATCAAACCCAAGTCTCCTGCATTGCAGGCGAATTCTTTACCACTGAGCCAATAAGAAGGGATGTTCGCTCAGTCGTGTCCGACTCTTTGTGGTCCCATGGACTGTAGCCCACCAGGCTCCTCTGCCCACGGAATTCTCTATGCAAGAATACTGGAGTGGACTGCCATCTTTTTTAATTCCAAGGGATCTTCCAACCCAGGGATCAGACATAAGTCTCTTGCACCTCCTGCACTGCATGCAGATTCTTTACCACTGAACCACCTGGGACGCCCTATGCTTTTATATAAAGACATTTAAAAAAAAAAGCTTAGACTGTAAGTAGCCTGACACTTATAGAACATGAACACATAATTATCACACCTCAAACCCTAAGCTACTTAAGATAAACACCTATCTAAAGGACAAAACCATATCATTTTACCCAGAAAAAGGTGTAAGATATGCCACTGAGGCTATTACTTATACCAGATAGAATTTAGGTCCTTGGACAAATCGTATTTTTTTTAACATAAAAAAGTCTAAACTATGCTTCCCTAAACTTTTTATTTTAAGAATATAGAGTTTTGCTTGTTTTGTCTATCTAAGATAGTTGTGTTCATCTGTTACCAGGTCACACAAATGTAAACAGAAGTATCAAACAATGGTTATTAAATAACATGGTTAGAAAACAAATAGAATTAGAACCAGAAAATAACAACATTGGTCCCTAATTTCAGTTCTATCCTATAACTGTGATCATTCCCTCAAAGGCAGAAATTTTTCAAACAAATATTAAGAGTTGGTGAATTTTAAGGGATACGCCATCCCAAGATACCAAGTACTAAAAATGAATCAGCACAAGGAAACAGGAACAAAGCAGTAGTGTTATGGTGCCACCCACTGGCTAGAAATCCTCATAGCAAATATGAGAGCCAATCATAAAAGGGAAATTACTGAAATAGGAAGGAAAATAATAATGATGATTCTGATTCATCGTAGTATCAGAAACTTCTAACAAAACAGAATCATCCATATTATTTTATTAGCACAAAGAAAGAGAGTAACTCTTAAAATGCTCACAACAATGAATTTTATTAATTTAGAAATGCAAATCTACACTCTCCAAAGACTAAGACTTTATCTCATAGTCAAAACAATTAACATAGAAAATGTCATTTTAGCTCTGTAGCGAAATATATGAAGACACTCAATCAAAAGATGCACACTTGCATTTCACTGCTAAGAAAGAAATTATAATATTAATAATATATTCAAATGTTAATGAAATGGTGTTAACCCCACTTTTACCTTTATCAGGGAAGTAACAAAATACATGAAACAAAGGGCACGTCTAAAAAACTGGACTGAAAAATATGTTTCTCAAAAATTCTTAAGGAAAGGGGAAAGGGAAAAAGTCCTAAGAAAGACCATTCGTAGAAACTAGTAAAAAATAAATGTTTTCTTTAAAGTACAACAGCACCTTTAAGTTCAAAAGATATTTACCTTAATACAGTCTCCATTTTATCTCAATGACATCCTTTTGTTTTTCTAAAACAGTTCTTTTCTTAAATGCTAACATTCTTAAAATTTCAGCATATAAAATATTTGAGTTATTTCTCCTCAGACACAACCTTCCCATTAAGACTCAGAATAATATATAAACCTTGACATCAGTTTATAGTCCATAGCACCCTACTGAATGTTGATCTCTAAAGACCAGATTTCAGAATTTCTCTGTAGACGTGATCTGATCTTCCCTAATTAGAATTCGTGAATACATTCCAGGCAGTCAGGATAGGCATCATGTTTTTTGGCTTGATGGTGATTATCACCTGGCCTGCAAAAGCCAAGGTCTTCACTCGCTCATAGACGGTTGATTGCAGATAAGAACATGGTGAGAAAAGTCAAATTCCCACAAACATAAATTGCTAACACCACCTTTTTAAAAACATAACCCTAAAAGAAAAAAAAATGAGATATAAAAAAGGAAACTGTAATCACTAAGGTTTGTGTCAATAAATAAGAAGAAAGAACTTACTTCTGCTTCAGCTGCGGTAAATGACTGGAGGATCTGAATTCTATCATCATCCAGTATTTCAACTGTCAAGAACAAGAACAAAAGTTTGTAAGGCCTGTGGGTATGCAGGTAAACTCATTCTCAAAGATAGCCCTGATTTGGAGCATTGGAGGATTTCCAAGAGGTACATTCTCACATTTCAAGTGACCAAATGTTGCAAACTTCCTGCATATTTAAGGCTCTTACAAATCAGGTCAAGCTGGCTACAGCATACATGTGAAAGGACTTTCTTCTAGTCAGAGTTCTAACAATCCAAGTGTTAAATACATATATATTTTTTAAATAGCAAGCCATAATCTAGTGGTTATCAAAAGTCCCTTTAGGATTCAAACCCCACACAACATTGTAAATCAACTATACCAATCAAAAAAGAAAAAAAGGACTCAAATCCTATGTATGTTACCCTATCAAGAGTCAAAAACCGGTAGGACAGTTTTTACTGCGCAGTTCCAAAAAAGCTGCTGAGCACACACACTAGACAACAAAGAGGTTTTGTTTTTAGAAACCCACCTTAGGGCATGAAGGACAGTCAGCCTAGAAACCAGGCGAACATATCACTGATTCTCTGCTAATCTCTCCACTCCTAGTGGCTACAGGTGTCTTACGCTGCCTGCACTGGGGCCAAAATGGACCTTGCCGCTAGAGAGCACTGCAAAACATTAAGTCCTTCTTATGTAGCACGCCGGTTAGCTAGCTATATATAATGCAGATGGCAATGTAAGTGATAGCACACAAGAAGTCTGTTCAATAGGTAAAATTCATCTGCACCTTTGCCCTGTATTGACTATGGATGAGCACCTCTTCTTCCTCCATCTCAGGGGTCTCTCAGCTCCAGTCATTCAGGGCTCTCGGTTCATTCTAGCCCCACATGAGACCAGCATGCAAAGTAAAAAAGGATTTACAAAGAAGGCATCTTCCCTAAATGCTGCCCTCTTTCCCTGCATTTTACTCACAAACTCTAATACTAATGAATATAAAAATCAAAGGCAGAAAATTTCCACTATTTTTATCATAGCCTGAGTGATGGAAACAAATTTTTAGTAAGGTACTATGAAAGAGTCAACCATTAGTGTCGAGAAACTAATTATATTCCAACAGTTTGTATAAAAGTGATTCTACAACACTGCTCTTTGAGCAGGTTACCTTTTCTAGAGAGTCGGTAAGCATGTATCTCCAGAATAATCTCTGTCCCAACGTGCCAGGCAACAAATCCAATCATTGCATAGGTTTTCCATGGGCCAGGAAGATTCAGTCCTGGCAAATCCATTCCCAGGAACATTGCTGCCACTACATTTGTAAGAAAATACACATATTCAAATACAATTCAAGAGGTAACTATGGATGTATGTGCATACATGTGTGAATTACATCAAGTAAAATATACTCAAAGAGTTTATGAGATGAATTAGATTAATAATTAAGACCAAGTAGTTTAGTTTTTATTGTAAGACTAGAAAGGCTAAGATGGGAAATTATAATTACAATCTACCAATTGTTAAAAAAGAGGTGCCCAAACTTTTAAAAATGGTTTAAGTCTGCAATGTAGGAGGGGGGAAAAGTATGGAAACCATTTCTGACTATACCTCCCCTTCCACGATCTCTACAGAACGTAGAAATGTGAGGGCAGGAGATCAGCTTAGGTATTTATCACACAAAGCATCAAAAGGAGACACAGATGTAAAGAACAGACTTTTGGACTCAGTGGGAGAAGGGGACGGTGGGATGATCTGAGAGAATAGTATTAAAACATATACATTACCATATGTAAAATAGATGGCCAGTGCAAGTTTGATGCATGAAGCAGGGCACCCAAAGCCAGTGCTCTGCGACAACCCAGAAGAATAGGGTAGGGAGGGAACAGGGAGGGGGTGTTCAGGATGGGAGTAGGGGAATACATATATACCAGTGGCGAATTCATGTTGATGTATGGTAAAAATCATCACAATATTGTAAAGTAATTATCCTCCATTAAAATTAATTAATTAATTTAAAAAATACTACAGAATCATACTTGACATTTGAAAAACACCTTGCCCTGGAAGGTACCATTCCCATGGAGAAAACCTGGGGACAGAGGGCTGGGTCCCCAAGCCCATTTCAGCCCAAACCATGACAGACCCTCAAGCTGAGCTGTTTATACGTTTGGTCATCAGCATAGCTTATTCCGCTGGCAAAGGCAAACACTAAAAAAAAAGTCTTAAAAGGAGGGTTTTTAAGTCATTTTTAAAACCTTGAAACTGAAATAATAACTTAAATAGTTACCTCTAGAAATTACTTTCTGGATTTCAATGGTTAAGACTGATTTCTCCTCAATAACCAATTACTCCACTTACTAATGCATCTAAAAATCATTTAAGCCAAATTATGACTTGCAGTATAAACAACTTTCAATTATACATAAATAAGTGGCATCGCAATTACTTACCTGCTATTATTCTAGCAGCTGTTCCCATACTCCAATGAGTCCAGTTAAACATTTTCCTTCTACCAAATAAAGAACCAGTCAGTATTCTTTAAAGTGATGGAACTACAAGAAATTCCCAAGAGAATAAAAAGCATGTAATTTCCCTTATTTCTTAGGCATCAGCTATCTGAAATACATTTTAAAATCTTTTAAGTAAATATAATTTATCTTTGAATTTTATAAAATGCAAACAAAAAGGAATTGGCTTGCCAATTAATGATATCTACCTAAAGAGCATTTATAAATAAAGATTACAAGTACCTTGGGTCATGTAAAGGTGGTCTGAAAGCTGCCAAAAGAAGCTGAAGAACTGCTAAAACCATCACCATAAAACCAAGGTATGGGTGATAACCTGCATGCTGAACAAAGTTATATCATTTTAATGGTCTTAATCTTGCCCACCAAATCCTCAAATTAAAAATAATACAACAGAAGTAGTTTCTTAGGGCTTTTCTCTAGCTGTAAACATTTAAAAATAATAACAAACACTGTTCACAGAGTGTCTATGCCAGGCACATACTTTTTTTTTTTCATTTATTTTTATTAGTTGGAGGCTAATTACTTTACAATATTGTAGTGGTTTTTGCCATACATTGACATGAATCAGCCATGGATTTACCTGTGTTCCCCATTCCGATCCCTCCTCCCACCTCCCTCCCCATCCCATCCCTCTGGGTCTTCCCAGTGCACCAGCCCTGAGCACTTGTCTCATGAATCCAACCTGGGCTGGTGATCTGTTTCACCCTTGATAGTGTACTTGTTTCAATGCTGTTCTCTCAGAACATCCCACCCTCGCCTTCTCCCACAGAGTCCAAAAGTCTGTTCTGTACATCTGTGTCTCTTTTTCTGTTTTGCATATAGGGTTATTGTTACCACCTTTCTAAATCCCATATATATTAGTATACTGTATTGGTCTTTATCTTTCTGGCTTACTTCACTCTGTATAGTGGGCTCCAGTTTCATCCATCTCATTAGAACTGATTCAAATGAATTCTTTTTAATGGCTGAGTAATATTCCATAGTGTATATGTACCACAGCTTCCTTATCCATTCTTCTGCTGATGGGCATCTAGGTTGCTTCCATGTCCTGGCTATTATAAATAGTGCTGCGATGAACATTGGGGTGCACGTGTCTCTTTCAGATCTGGTTTCCTCGGTGTGTATGCCCAGAAGTGGGATTGCTGGGTCATATGGCAGTTCTATTTCCAGTTTTTTAAGGAATCTCCACACTGTTCTCCATAGTGGCTGTACAAGTTTGCACTCCCACCAACAGTGTAAGAGGGTTCCCTTTTCTCCACACCCTCTCCAGCATTTATTGCTTGTAGACTTTTGGATAGAAGCCATTCTGACTGGCATGTAATGGTACCTCATTGTGGTTTTGATTTGCACTTCTCTGATAAGGAGTGAGTTGAGCATCTTTTCATGTGTTTGTTAGCCATCTGTATGTCTTCTTTGGAGAAATGTCTGTTTAGTTCTTTGGCCCATTTTTTGATTGGGTCATTTATTTTTCTGGAATTGAGCTGGAGGAGTTGCTTGTATATTTTTGAGATTAATCCTTTGTCTGTTTCTTCATTTGCTATTATTTTATCCCAATCTGAAGGCTGTCTTTTCACCTTGCTTATAGTTTCCTTTGCTGGCCAGGCACATACTTTATACACATTATCACTAATGCTCACACTGATGCCTGATGGTTAGTTATCAATATCCCACTTCTACAATCGAGGGAACTGAGGCTCAGAGACGGTGAGTAATGTACCCAGGTCCACACAATGCATAAATGGTTGTGATGGAATCTAATGACGGACTGCTGCCCCCTCCCAGCAGTATGTTAGATGACCATTAACACCAGCACAGCCATCTGAAGCCCACCAAAGACTAGTTTTCATTCCAATCCCAAAGAAAGGCATGCCAAAGATTGCTCAAACTACCGCACAATTGCACTCATCTCACACGCTTGCAAAGTAATGCTCAAAATTCCCCAAGCCAGACTTCAGCAATATGTGAACCATGAACTTCCAGATGTTCAAGCTGGTTTTAGAAAAGGCAGACGAACCAGAGATCAAAGTGCCAACATCCACTGGATCATTGAAAAGGCAAGAGAGTTCCAGAAAAACATCTATTTCTGCTTTATTGACTATGCCAAAGCCTTCGACTGAGAATCACAACAAACTGGAAAATTCTGAAAGAGATGGGAATACCAGACCACCTGACTTGCCTCTTGAGAAATCTGTATGCAGGTCAGGAAGCAACAGTTAGAACTGGACATGGAACAACAGACTGGTTCCAAATAGGAAAAGGAATACGTCAAGGCTGTATATTGTCACCCTGCTTATTTAACTTATATGCGGAGTACATCATGAGAAACGCTGGGCTGGAGGAAGCTCAAGCTGGAATCAAGATTGCCGGGAGAAATATCAATAACCTCAGATATGCAGATGACACCACCTTATGGCAGAAAGTGAAGAAGAACTAAAGAGCCTCTTGATGAAAATGAAAGAGGAGAGTGAGAAAGTTAGCTTAAAGTTCAACATTCAGAATACTAAGATCATGGCATCTGGTCCCATCACATCATGGCAAATAGATGGGGAAATAGTGGAAACAGTGTCAGACTTTATTTTTTTGGGCTCCAAAATCACTGCAGATGGTGATTGCAGCCATGAAATTAAAAAATGCTTACTCCTTGGAAGGAAAGTTATGACCAACCTAGATAGCATATTAAAAAGCAGAGACATTATTTTGCCAACAAAGGTCCGTCTAGTCAAGGCTATGATTTTTCCAGTATTCATGTATGAGTGTGACAGTTGGCTATAAAGAAAGCTGAGTGCTGAAGAATTGATGCTTTTGAACTGTGGTGTTGGAGAAGACACTTGAGAATCCCTTGGACTGCAAGGAGATCCAACCAGTCCATCCTAAAGATCAGTCCTGGGTGTTCATTGGAAGGACTGATATTGAAGCTGAAACTCTAATACTTTGCCCACCTAATGCTAAGAGCTGACTCATTTGAAAAGACCCTGATGCTGGGAAAGATTGAGGGCAGGAGGAGAAGGGGATGACAGAGGATGAAATGGCTGGATGGCATCACCAACTCAATGGAAATGAGTTTGGGTAAACTCCAGGAGTTGGTGATGGACAGGGAGGCCTGGCGTGCTGCAGTTCATGGGGCCACAAAGAGTCAGACATGACTGAGCAAACTGAACTGAACTGAACTGAAGACTAGTTAGTATCTGCATTTAAGGAACAATCAACCCAGTGTATTGTAATTATTTGTTCAGACCTCTATGTTTCCTGGGGCCAAAGTTTCTATATGATTCCTTGTAACCCATGTGGCTTGGGTTTCCCAGGTGGGGCTAGTGGTAAACAACACACCTGCCAATGCAAAAGACATAAGAGATGCAGGTTCTATCCCTGGGTTGAGGAGATCCCCTGGAGAAGGGCATGGTAACCCCCTCCTGGAGAATCCCATGGACAGAGGAGCCTGGCGGGCAACAGTCCATGAGGTCGCAAAGAGTCAGACACAACTGAAGCAACTTAGCAGCAGGAGCAACCCATGTGGCTTAACAGAGCCTAGTCACTCAAAGGTCTTAGCCAAGAAAAATCATCAACGCAACATCTTGACAGTTTCAGCTATACTCCTCCCTCAGTGATGGTGTCGGCTCAAATCAACAGAGAGTGGGATTAGACCACTTTGCACAATTATGGCATTTAAAAACTTAAGAGAAGGATTACAAAAATGCTCTTATCCATGATACATTTAGACAGAGGGATATCTCAGTCTGTTGTCACTGACGACCATGCTTGGGTAGGCTCTAAAACCTGTGACCTAGAACAAGGCCATATGGTTTCTAAGCCAAGATAGGAAGCTTCTGCAAATTAGGAACTAAAAGTTGACAGACAAGCACTATAAAAACTCAAACTGTGGACTCAGTTATGCAGATAAGTTACAACTTGGACTCTGGAGATGGAAATTGTCCCTATCTAATAAAAAATAGTAATAGCAGTGACAAAATTCTCTTATGTTTAGAATGTGCCAGGAACTATTTTAAGTGCATTCAGTTAATTAACTATCAACCCTCAGAAAGCCTATGAGATAGATACTCTACTTCTTCATTGGAGTAAACTGAGGGACAGAGAAGTTAGGCAACTTGCCCAAGGTGTCCCAGGTAATCAGTGATGACATGAGGATTCAAATCCAAGGGTCCAACTATAGAATTATGCTTTTTATCTTTTTACCACCCTTGTCACAACTACAAAGACTAACAAGCTATGAAGTTTATAAAGTAAGCAGTACACTTGTCGCAAGTACCTGGAGAAAATAAAGTCCCAATGTCTCAAGTCATATCAGAAAATCTTCATAATTTCCTTTAAAAAATAGTTTGACCAGTCTAAAAATACTTAAAAAGCAGAAAGGAGGTTTCCTAGTAATAGCTATGACCCAAGATGCATCCATATTTGCCCTTATAGTAACAGCCCAAATTGAAATATTAAATTTTGATATCAAATTCTGACTGGCTGTTAAACTACAAGAGTATACTGGAAACTCGGACTCTGACCTTAAGTACATCTCTGATTCTCAATTCAGTTCAGTTCAGTCGCTCAATCGTGTCCGACTCTTTGCAACCCCATGAATCGCAGCACCCCAGGCCTCCCTGTCCATCACCAACTCCCAGAGTTTACTCAAACTCATGCCCATCGAGTTGGTGATGCCACCCAGCCATCTCATCCTCTGTCGTCCCCTTCTCCCACCTTCAATCTTTCCCAACATCAGGGTCTTTTCCAACGAGTCAGTCCTTTATATGTATGGTGGCCAAAGAATTGGAGTTTCAGCTTCAACATGAGTCTTCCAGTGAACACTCAGGACTAATTTCCTTTAGGATGGGCTGGTTGTATCTCCTTGCTGTCCAAGGGACTCTCAAGAGTCTTCTCAAACACCACAGCTCAAAAGCATCAATTCTTCCGTGCTCAGCTTTCTTCACAGTCCAACTCTCACATCCATACATGACTACTGGGAAAACCACAGCCTTGATGAGATGGACCTTCGTTGGCAAAGTAATGTCTCTGCTTTTTAATATGCTATCTAGGTTGGTCATAACTTTTCTTCCAAAGAGCACGCATCTTTTAATTTCATGGCTGTAGTCACCATCTGCAGTGATTTTGGAGCCCAAAAAAATAAGGTCTGTCACTGTTTCCACTGTTTCCCGATCTATTTGCCATGAAGTGATGGGACCAGATGCCATGATCTTAGTTTTCTGAATGTTGAGTTTTAAGCTAACTTTTTCACTCTCCTCTTCACTTTCATCAAGAGGCTTTTTAGTTCCTCTTCACTCTCTGCCATAAGGTGGTGTCATCTGCATATCTGAGGTTATTGATATTTCTCCCGGCAATCTTGATGCCAGCTTGAGCTTCATCCAGCCCAGCGTTTCTCATGATGTACTCTGCATATAAGTTAAATAAGCAAGGTGACAATATACAGCCTTGACGTATTCCTTTTCCTATTTGGAACCAGTCTGTTGTTCCATGTCCAGTTCTAACTGTTGCTTCCTGACCTGCATACAGATTTCTCAAGAGGCAGGTCAGGTGGTCTGGTATTCCCATCTCTTTCAGAATTTCCCACCGTTTATTGTGATCCACACAGTCAAAGGCTTTGGCATAGTCAATAAAGCAGAAATAGATGTTTTTGTGGAACTCTCTTGCTTTTTTGATGATCCAGTGGATGTTGGCACTTTGAGCTCTAGTTCGTCTGCCTTTTCTAAAACCAGCTTGAACATCTGGGAGTTCACGGTTCACATATTGCTGAAGCCTGGCTTGGAGAATTTTGAGAATTACTTTACTAGCGTGTGAAGTGATGTGAAGTGAAGTCGCTCAGTCGTGTCCGATTCTTTGCGACCCCATGGACTGTAACCTACCAGGCTTCTCCGTCCATGGGATTTTCCAGGCAAAAATACTGGAGTGGGTTGCCATTTCCTTCTCCAGGAGATCTTCCCTACCCAGGGATTGAACCCAGGTCTCCCGCCTTGTAGGCAGACGCTTTACCATACGAGATGAATGCAATTGTGCGGAAGTTTGAGCATTCTTTGGGATTGGAATGAAAACTGATCTTTTCCAGTCCTGTGGCCACTGTTGAGTTTTCCAAATTTGCAGGCACATTGAGTGCAGCACTTTCACAGCATCATCTTTCAGGATTTGAAATAGCTCAACTGGAATTCCATCACTTCCACTAGCTTTGTTCGTAGTGATGCTTTCTAAGGCCCACTTGACTTCACATTCCAGGATGTCTGGCTCTAGGTAAGTGATCACACCATTGTGATTATCTGGGTCGTGAAGATCTTTTTTGTACAGTTCTTCTGTGTATTCTTGCCACCTCTTCTTAATATCTTCTGCTTCTGTTAGGTCCATACAATTTCTGTCCTTTATCAAACCCATCTTTGCATGAAATGTTCTCTTGGTATCTCTAATTTTCTTGAAGAGATCTCTAGTCTTTCCCATTCTGTTTTTTTCCTCTATTTCTTTGCATTGATCGCTGAGGAAGGCTTTCTTATCTCTCCTCACATAGTAGGAATACAACTAATGTTAACAGTGATAGTCACAGTATTAGAGAAAATCAGTTAAAGTGTTCATGTTCCTTAGATATCATGCTTTCAACGTTCACCATTCCATAAGGAGAAAACTCATTAAAGCTACATAGTATATAATTAAAATTTGAGACCATCTAAAAAGACATTCCACTACCAAGTAATCTGCATTGACATTCTAACTCCACCCCTGACACCAACCATGTGAAACACTCATCAGATGATTCAAAAAGGAGAGAAAGAGGAACATGAAGATACATCTTTTTATGCATCACCTGAGGAAAAAAAAAACAGCAATCTCCTTTGGCATCAAACTGAATATTAAACATATAAATATAATAAAAAACATTCTGTTTAAGATCTACTTACCCAGTTCCAGCCTCCTCTGTAAATAAAAGGCAGAAGAAAAGCAATAAAGGTGAGGGCAGAAGTAGTGAGCATGAGAGTTCGATGCACCTGCAAGAGTGAAATGACAAATGAGAAGAGAGAGAGCCGCAAAAGAGAAAGAAGCTGGTGTAACCATGAAGATCACAGGGTGAGATCCACAGAAGGCATCCATTCAGTTGACATATAACCACAATTTGTTGTCAGTTAAAAAAAAATCTTACTATAACATTGAACTTTAAAGAAAAGTCTAAGCTGCCAACCTCATCACTCAAAAGCATCTGCCAAGACTTCACCTGCACAAAACAGCAGGAATGAATATTTTCACACACAGAGAGCACTTACTTGCCAAACTCACTTCCTTCCAAACACATTTATTAAGTTCTACCACCAAGCAGCCTGGTTACATACAATGAAACTGCAAGGAAACAGAAAGTACTGTTTCCTGGGGAGCTTGGGATTTAATTGAACAGAGAAGAGAAACATATTTGAAATGTCTAATTCATTATTCAAACAAGGAGAATACTGACAGTGAAAATGGGCACTGATAGTGGGTTATTCCAGGATAACTGGTGCAAACCAAAACTACCCCAGAGAATGTAAGACCTGTGGTCACTATATATAGTATAGATATACACACATATATAGTCACGAGAAAGTAGGACCTATAGTCAGGCATTATGTGCAGATATTATAGCTTTGAAGACAGTGGGGGACTTGAATTGGTTGAAAGGGAGACAAAGAGTTTTCCAGTTGGGAATATCCACATGAGAAGAGGAAAAAGAGAGAGAACAATCAAAGGCAGAGACAGACAGGAGCAAGACATACGACAATCAGCAGTGATAGCAAATAAAACAGATTCACACTGCCGGCCAAAACTGAGAAACGATATTAGACAAGGTAAACCTTAAAAGCTACAAATTTATATGAAGTTTCAAGAATACCTTCTTCTAAAGTCAAAACTGTTACAGTAAGCAATATTTTTTCTACAAGCAGACATGCACATTCTATCTCAATACATATTTGTTGATCTTTCACTGTATATGCAAATATCCATACTCCATCACAAATGAAAGGTAAGGTTTGTTTTATTTTATTTTGAGGGGTATTTATTGACCCTTGCCCATGTTTCTATTAAAAGACTGCCTCCTCATCCCCCAGGGAAGGGACAGCATGAAAGAGGACACTTTCAGTTTCTCTTCCCACCTACACAGGGAATACATGATCTTACTGATGAGTCAAGGCTGTGTATTGTCACCCTGCTTATTTAACTTATATGCAGAGTATATCATGAGAAACGCTGGACTGGAAGAAACACAAGCTGGCATCAAGATTGCCGGGAGAAATATCAATAACCTCAGATGTGCAGATAACACCACCCTTATGGCAGAAAGTGAAGATGAACTAAATAGCCTCTTGATGAAAGTGAAAGAGGAGATGAGAAAGCTGGCTTAAAACTCAACATTGAGAAAACTACGATCATGGCATCTGGTCCCATTACTCCATTGCAAATAGATGGGGAAACAGTAGAGACAGTGACAGACTTTATTTTGGGGGGGCTTCAAAATCACTGCAGATGGTGATGGTAGCCATGAAATTAAAAGACACTTGCTCCTTGGAAGAAAAGTATGACCAACCTAGATAGCATATTAAAAAGCAGAGACATTACTTTGCCAACAAAGGCCTATCTAGTCAAAGCTATGGTTTTTCCAGTAGTCAGGTATGGATGTGAATGTTGGACTATAAAGAAAGCTGAGTGCCAAAGAATTGATGCTTTTGAACTGTGGTGTTAGAGAAGACTCTTGAAAATCCCTTGGACTGCAAGGAGATCCAACCAGTCCATCCTAAAAATCAGTCCTACGTGTTCATTGGAAGGACTGATGTTAAAGCTGAAACTCCCAATACTTTGGCCACCTGATGCAAAGAGCTGACTCATTTGAAAAGATCCTGATGCTGGGAAAGATTGAAGGTGGGAGGAGAAGGGGACAACAGAGGATGAGATGACTGGATGGCATCATTGACTTGATGGACATGAGTTTGAGTAAACTCCAGGAGTTGGTGATGGACAGGGAAGCCTGGCGTGCTGCAGTCCATGGGGTCACAAAGAGTCAGACACGACTGAGTGACTGAACTGAACCGACTGATGAGCTAGGGGCTGCCTAACCTTCACTAGCCCATCAGCCAGAGGACAGACCACTGCTCTGCAGCATAGTGAGCAACCACTGTTTCTTTCTTCTGCTTTTCTGCCTTCCTGGGCTTTCCTGATTGCTCAGCTGATGAAGAACCCACCTGTCAATGCAGGAGACGCAACAGATGCAGGTTTGATCCCAGGGTCAAGAAGATCCCCTGGAGAAGGAAAGATAACCCACTCCAATTTTCTTGCCTGGAGAATCCCCATGGACAGCAGAGCCTGGTGGGCTACCAGTCTACGGGGTCGCAGAAAGTCAGGCACAACTGAGCGTGCATGCACTGCCTTCTTGGACCCATCTGTCCTCAGTGAAGTTGGTGAATGCTCTTCTAATCTTTTGCAACTAGACAGGTAACTCAAGATCATGTTACATGAACTCAAGGTCTGTGTTCCAAAGAAACACACATGGTGATGATACATTCTCCAGCTCAGCCTGCTCCTTCATAAAGCTGTCTTTATTTTTATCTCCATAGAGTATCTTGTGTCTATTCTTAGTTGGTTAGGAAACCAAAGGGCAAAAAGAGATTACTAAGAATCCAAAATTACAACTATAACCACCCAAAAATCCACTTATTTCATATGTTTTCATGTTGCAACATTCAAGTAATATGGAAATTGCATTAAACTATTTCTCCACCTACCTGAAACCAAGCTGCATCACCAAATAAAGCCTTTGACCAAACAGGTTTGAAGAACCGGGCAATCAGTACACCTACACTAACAGTAGTCATCCATGCCACAAACATTAAGGCACCTAGAGGTGAGAAAATGCAATGGTTAACAACACAATCTAATTAAGCTATTTCTTAAATGATCAATCCAAATGCTTAGAAAATGTAAACAGTCAACAAAATACATTCAGCTGGCATAATAAATACAATCTAAATATCAATGCTTTTACCACCACTACTACTTCTAATAGCCAACGCTTCCAAAGCTCTTATTTCATGCCAGGCACTGTCTCCAAGTACTTTATGCATATTAATCTAACTGATCTTAACAACAATTCCTATAAAATATTTACAATTATTATTCCAGTTTAGCTATATGGGGAAGGAAAGCATAGAGAAGTTAAGTAACTTGCCCAAGGTTATAAGTCAGAATTTGAACCCAGTCTTTTTTTAATTAATTGTGCTCTTAATCATTACACTGAAACAGCCTGTCTATAGCTTTCTCAGAATTTTCTCACATTTTGCTACTAAAAATAATGGAAAACAAATAGGCACATTATTTCTGAAACCAATTACTGCTCAACTAGAACTACTAGTAAAAGTGAAATAACAACAATAAAGATATTTTCAAGTTTTACTGAAACTCCCACTAGAATGAATAATTCTGGAGTATATAAAGGAAATACACCAATTAAGGAAAGTTCCCTGCCAGTATTAATATTTTATAAAAGTAGAGTACAGTATACCCTTAACACTATTCTCCTATTTTTAACCTCATTTTTCAATAACTGGACTGCTTTTCAAATGGGATCAATTTCTACTTGTACAACCAGAGTACATCAGAGCCTTATTTCTAGGCTACTGCTCTTCCAACTTGATTCCCTTCACTTTAAGTATGTGATACATAATGACAGCATTGAGTTACTTTAGATACCCTCAAATACTTGTAAACTGACCAGTTCTTCAACAACAACAACAAAAAATTACATCTTTAAAACCAAGTGAAAGTGTTAGTTGCTCAGTTGTGTCTGACTCTTTGCAACCCCATGGACTATAACCTACCAGACTCCTCTGTCCATGGGATTATCCAGGCAAGAATACTGGAGTGGGTTGCCATTCCCTTTTCCAGGGGATCTTCCCAACCAAGGAATCAAACACGGGTCTCCAGTATTGCAGGCAGATTATTTACCATATAGCCCACCAGGGAAGCTTTGAAGCCAAACTACTGTTATAATTGAACAATCACAATCACAAACTACTAATTTATTACCGTTTATTTTAATAAATGGCATAATTAAAGTCTCATAAAAGTTAATTCACCCAATAATACTCAATCCTGGCTGCAATTACAAACAACTAGTGTACTTTTTAAAAATTCTGTTGATAAATGTCTTAAAAGCTCCACTGGTGATTTTAATATAAGTCAAGGCTAAAACCAATGAAATATCCCTTCTCTCTTTTTTGTGAAAAAATAGCAAACATTAAGATACATAATGCTACCTGCAAATGTTGCCTAAACTTAGAAGATTTATGGATATTTGCTAAATTGTGCCTGTTACCATTCTCAATCTAGCCGGCATTAAATTTATTCCACAAAGTTAAGTTTATTCCACAAAGTATCACTAATACTATACATGTAACTTACCATGAACCTTCAGAAGGAGTAAAGAACGGGATCCTCCTATGTTCTTTGGATCGCCTGTCACATTGTATTTTTCATATGTAATCAAAGGTTGCTGAGAATGCTTATGAATTCGACCTGAAATTTTAAAAAAAAAATGAAGATGAATTACTTTCTCAGGAAAGAAGGAATGGAGAGACAATGACATGGCTTGAAAATAAAATTTCTTAAGGTAATAAAAAATAAATTTCAGTAGAGATGATATATAATATTATATACTGATATTATATTAATATGCAACGTGTATTGATATAATATTAATGTATATAGTCTTAATATTTTATAATAATATTCATTATTTATAAAATAAAATCTATAATGTATAGAATTATCCCAGCTAGTTTGTTTATGTCACTATGAATGTATGTGTGCCCATTCTGGGAATCTATCCTACAGAAATATTCCCTTTTTAACCAAAGATATATATGCAAGAGTGTTCATAGAAACATTTCTTTACACTGACCAAACAAATTCAATCAAGGTAAATGTCCATCATTAGAAGAATGAGTACACAAATTATGGAACATACATAATTTTCAGAATACAAGTGTCAAAAAGAATTAAAATAATTAAGAAATTTGATATGGTGAACCTTTGTCTCAAGTAAGTATTAGACCACAGACTACACCTCAATGACTTCCAAAACAAAATATGTATATAGGTTATTTATCTAACTAAAATTAAGCAAAATAAAAATTAACAAAAGAAAGCTAGGAAAAAGTGGTCCAGCTAGATATTTATAAAACTCTTCTAAATAATCCTTAGGATACATAGGAAGTTAAAACTAAAATTACAAACGTTTTTAAACAAATAACAATGAAGGCACTTTATATCAAAACACAGGTGATGTAATCAGGGTACCATTCAAAAGTTTTTAATTGTTCTAAAGCATTTTCTTAAAAAAATTTAAGAAAACTTTGAAGTAAATAATTTAATTCAAGATGCATTTAAAACTACAAAACATAACCTAGGAAACCAGAAAAGAAGATGGATTAAAAATAAATGAATGAAATTAACAAACTAGTAAGTCTAAAAATGAGAAAAATTAATTCTGTAAAAGCCAATAAAATTGAGTTTTTGATAAATCTGACCACAAAAAAATAAATGGGAAAAAAAAGTCACAAACAATATTAGAAATGAAAACAGTGACACAGCTGCTGATATGAAGATATTCCTTAAAATTATATAAAAATGCTATATACAACATTAAGTCAGCCAAAAATATTTCAAAATCTAACTGAAGTGAATGAATTTCTAAGAAAATCTAGAATTACAAAAACTGATCAAAGTAGTAGCAAATCTGGAGAATAATAACAATAAAATTTTATTTAATTAGTCAAATATTTCCATCCCTAAGTCTCAGGCTGTTATGTGAATGAGTCCTATCATACAATTTAAAAAATTTTTTAACTTCAAAAATTCATATTTATTTAAACTCTTCTTGAGTTTTTTCTATAAGATTAGCATAACACTGAAACCAACATGAGGCAGGCATGCACACACACAAAAACACACACAATCCCACAACCACACACCAAAAGCATTTATGAACATCGATGCGAAAAGCTTAAATAAAATATTAGTGAATTATATTAATCTGCATTAAGGGAATAATAAGATATGACCAAGCACTTTCATCCCAGGAAAGTGAGAATTGTTCACTGTTCAGAAATATACAGAAGTAATGATAAAGTATCATCTCAGTTGCTGCCTAAAAGACAGTAGATGAAATTCAGCACACACCCATGACAAGAACTCTTTGTAAAGGTAGGAACAGAATAATTCCTAAACACAAAGAATATATCCCCCAGAAAAATACAGTAACAGGACACAATACTGGATATTAGAAGCAATCGCATAAAAATCAGGGACAAGACAAGAATACTTGCCATATTACACTACCATTCCACACTTTTCTGGGAGAAGTAAGAAATGCAGTGAAACAAGAAAGAAAGAAAATGAGGGCTACTAATGTCAATTCCAATCATAAACCCAATAAGATTTTTAGTGGAACTTGACAAATCATTTCTAAACTTAATCTAGAAGAGCAGATACACAAAGAGGAGGCAAGAATTCCTTAAAAAAAAAAAAAAAGAAGGCTAAAAGGGGAATCATGTTTTATTAAAACTTACAACCTATTATTCAAACAGTACAGAAATAGACAAATAGATCAATGGAAGAATAAATTAGAAATAATGTGATTTACTGACAGTTTTTAGTGTATGATAAAGAGCCTTTAGAAACAGTGAAGAAAAAATGGACTGTTCAAAAACTAGTGTTTGGACACCTGGTTATTCATTTGGTGAATACAATTATATCTTGTCTTGTTATACCAGAGAAGATCAGAGATAAAACAGAAAATGAGAAGTTCTTATAGTGAATACCTAGAGACTAGTGTCAAGAAAAAGGAGACAATAGCTATCAGAAGTTACAAAAATGTCAAATAGAAGATAATGGGAAAAAAACTATTGAAAATGACAAGGAAAGCTTTGAAGAATCTAAAAATATTGCATTAGTACAGTAGTAGTGACGGCGGAGCCTGGTGGGCTGCCGTCTATGGGGTCGCACAGAGTCGGACACGACTGAAGAGACGCAGCTGCAGCAGCAGCAGTGATAAAAACTAGACCACATTCTTAACATCCTGAGAGTCAAGTTGGAAGAAAAGTGTTTTTAAACTGAAGTGCCATGGAGCCATGGACTAACATGAACTTAATCTTCATTAAAACAGAAATCCATATAATTTTGGTGTTCCATTGCGTGGCTCCATTATAAATTTGGTGTTTTGCTTTAAGGGACACCAAGTTCATGTTTAGCATCCTGATGGCTCAATGGTTAAGAATCTGCCTGCAATGCAGGAGATGCAAGTTCAATCCCTGGGCCAGGAAGATCCCCTAGAGAAGGAAATGGCGACTCATTTCAGAATTCTTGCCTGGATAATCCCATGGATGGAGGAGCCTCGCAGTCTACAGTCCATAGGGTCACAAAGAGACAGACACAACTGAGCATATGCATACAATGCTTTCACTTCACTTCCTACAGTATTATTCCTAAATTCCCAAAATAATAGGTCATGTGATAATTGGGTCTCTGCTTCATTAATTATTTAAGTTGGTAGATTTTCTAATTGTGAATAACTTATTTACACAGATGAGTTCTGTCTCAGTTCAGACTCAGCATTTCACATGATGGCTTATTTCATGATAAGACAAAGCTTTCAGGGGGTAAAATAGCAGTTAGAACAAGGTTTTAAATGGCTTTTACTAAATATGACAATATCTTTAACTCTCAATTATCTTTTGTTTTCTTCTGACCCCTTTTCCTAGGTGATTTCTCCCATTGTGGGTCATTTCTCAAATTTTTCTTCTTAAAGTAAAATATATATCTTGTTTCTTTTCACTGATCCAGTTTGTAAATGTGTACTGAAAAAAATCAGAATATATTTAAATAAATAGAATAATTTATTTACAGAGAAATTTACCTCACTGACATTGTGTTATACATTAATTCCATTTGTTACTACTGTGCAAAACAACCTTGTTTAAAAGGGAATTGGGTAAACATTTATACCATTTTGTTCACTGCATTTAGCAGACATGAATGTTTAATAGTCATGTAATCATGATGATTTAGTAACTTGGAAGAATAGCTATGACAAACCTAGACAGGGTATTAAAAAACAAAGACATCACTTCGCCAACAAAGATCCATATAGTCAAAGCTATGGTTTGACTTAGTGACTGAACAGCATGATGTAAAGAAATGTGACAATATTCAGCTATCTGCTTTCTGAATGTTTCAAATTCTAATCTATAAGCACTGTTGATACCCAGAAAAGAGAGCTAAATTTCCTGTGAAAAGGTAAAAAAATAAAACAACTCAGCAGTTAGAAAAAGAACAGAAAGATAGCTATATGCCAGCTTAACACCAAATATAAGGATAACAAGAAAAATTAGTAGAAAATGAAAATCTGAAACGTTATCTGAAATCTGAAAACATTAAGCAATTTCATCTGTATATTAATATTGATGACTTTTGCTAAATCACTTTTGCATATCTGGATGAAGAAACTGGTTAATTTTTCTGTTTTTACTAATAACGTAGTGTCCTTTGGAGCTTGACAGTCTGTAAGAATCATCAGAAGCTTCTGATTCAGCATCACATTCCCTCTGACCTTCAGTCTGCATTACTAAACAATAGAGCTTGTCAAACTTGCTCAGGACGACCTTGTTCTATTTATGTTTACATGGGTTACAGAGATATGATTGCTCTGAAAAATGGTTTCAACCTCACAAAGTCTCACTGTTTTTAAGCAGAGTGCAGCATATAAATGATCCATATACACATGACAAGACAACAAATGGACTGGGACAATGGATTGGTTCAAAATTGGGGAAGGAGAACTAAAGGCTGTATATTGTCACCCTGCTTATTATTTATTTTATACGCAGAGTACATTACATGAAATGCCAGGCTAGATGAATCACAAACTGGAATCAAGATTGCTATCAGAAATATCAATAACCTCAGATATGCAGATGATACCACTCTAATGGCAGAAAGTAAAGAGGAACTAAAGAGCCTCTTGATAAGGGTGAAAGAGGAGAGTGAAAAAGCTGGCTTAAAACTCTTCAAAACATTCAAAAAACTAAGATCATGGCATCTGCTCCTATCACTCTATGGCAAGCAGATAGAGAAAAAGTGGAAACAGTAATGGACTTTATTTTCTTGGGCTCCAGAATCACTGAGGATGGTGACTGCAGCCATGAAATTAAAAGACACTTGCTTATTGGAAGGAAAGCTATGATAAAGCTAGACAGTATATTAAAAAGCAAAAACATCACTTAGCCGACAAAGGTCCACATAGTCAAAGCTATAGTTTTTTCAGTAGTCATGTACGGAGGTGAGAGATGGACCACAAAGAAGGCTGAGCATCAAAGAACTGATGCTTTAGAATTTTGGTGTTAGAGAAGACTCCTGAGAGCCCCCTGACAGCATGGAGATCAAACCAGTCAGTCCTGAAGAAAATCAACCCTGAATATTCATTGGAAGGACTGATGCTGAAGCTGAAGCTCCAATAC